CCTGATGGATCCCCATCTTTGCATCAACTTCCTCTAAGGCCCTGGAGGGTCTTAGTCTTGGTGGTCTTAGTCTTGGATTTACTGGTCTTGGTCTTAGTCTTAGTGGGTGGGAGAGGATGGCCCACCCCTAATGAGATATGGGAAATCTCAAAAGGGTGACCGATAATCTCAAACCTCAGCTCATCCTTTAGGGAAGTGTGTAAAGGTAGCCACTGTGGATTTGTGGGCCCCCACACCGCATGAGTCCAGCTGGAGGCCTAGAGCCCATGACAATGTCTCATGCCAGTCTGTACCAAGGATCTGCACTGGGAAAGCCCAGAGTTCACAAGTGAAAGCTAGAAAATCAGCACCAGTGGGGTGAAGGATCTGTGCTAGCAGGCTGAGGAATCTGCACTGGAGCCAGGAAGTGACACTCAAGGTAAGGACCAGAGCTCCCCCAAAGAGACCCGTTGCCATACTCGGCGACAGGGAGGACCTGAGCTCCTCCGATGATGATAACAGCCAGTTCACATCAAGAAAACCAGCACAACAAGCTTCTCCAGGAGAATCAACAGCACACCATATTCCCCTCCAGTTCTCTTTTTATGCTGCCAGCAACAGTCCTGAAGTGGGCCCTGCACACCCAGCATCACACAGATTCAGTTCAGCTGGGTGTTACAAGTTGACTGTTAATCTATAGTAAATAGCTAAATTAAGTGGAAATAAGAGCTGGACATGGTGGTGCACACCTGTAATCCCAGCACTGGGGAGGCTGAGGCAGGAGGATCACTCACTGTAAGTTTGAGGACAGCCTGGGCTACACAGTGAGTTCAAGGCCAGCCTGAACTGCATAGCGAGACCCTGGCTCAAAAAGACAGAAAAAAAAAAAATTAGGTGGAAATATAGTAGGCAGTCAGACAGGGCTGGGCCCTTGAGGAAGTTGATGCAAAGATGGGGATCCATCAGGACATCAAAGTCACAATGGCTGGATTTACACGCTTCCCTAAAGTCTGAACAGAGGCTTGGGATTATTGGTATCACCCTTTCAAGACTTCCTATTATCTCATCAGGGGTGAGCCATCCTCTCCCACCTACTACGACTACTACTAAGACTAAGACTAGATTGTCGACCAGGCTTAACGACGTCACTTATGTACCCTTGCTACCACTGGATGGGTATCATCTAAGCGACTATACTCGCAGTCTTACTGGTTAATCATAACCTTGACCCATGTTGTACCCACCTCGTGGCTTTGCTCTATAAAGCTCCCTCCAAGAGGTAGGCTTACTGGCAGCCCTTTCAGGAGCCCCTGCCTCTCAGGAGAGATTCCTTGTCTCTGTTCTCCATTCGTATTCCCCCTCCGTATTCGTACTCTTAATCTCCACTGTTTCTTAGGATTCATTCTTGACTTCAGGGAACTCAGCATATTTGACATCTAGCATTTCTCCTACATCAAATCCACCACACAGGCCGGGGATGTAGCTCAGCAGCACAAGTGCCAGCCTGGCAAGGGCAAGGTCCTGAGTTTGCTTCCTGGCACCAAATCCGCCATGCATCCTAGTGTGTGTTGTATGTCAATCATCTTTATGAATCTATAAAAAGGTGAAGGAGTATATTTAATAATCCCTTCATCGTCTACCAAAATACAGGTCTTTTGGGTGTTTTATCTAACTTTAACTCCATGGCCTCTTCTTGATTTACAGACTGTTACGTATTTCAATCTGGGGGGACATTACGTGGTTGCTGTAGTTTCATGCGGTCCCCCCACGTCCCCTCTGTTTCACTCATTCCTGCACCGTGGATCCTCCACCGGTTCCTGTCATCGAAGTCCTTCCTGTGGCATTTCCTTCGGGGATCTTCTGGGGTGCCCTTCCGGTCTCATGTTGCCCCCACTCTCTTTTAAAAATGTAAGTCAACTTAAAAAATGAGCGCATATTGGAAAGTCCCCAAGGAGCTAGGGCTGTGGCTCAGTGGTAGAAAGCTTGCCTAGCATATGCGAGACTCAGTCTCAAAAACATTCATGAATGTCCTCAGACCCTAAGTGTGCAGCTGGAGCCGACACAGGCCACGCGCTGTCTCCACCCGCCAGTGCAGGGGTGCAAGGTCCACCTCAGACACCACAAACAGCAAAGCGAGCGGCGGGCATGCGGGAGTCAGAGGTCGTAAGTAAATAGTGGCACCACCCCACCAAGCTGATGATCTGGTTTTGCGCCTTTATTATAGGCCGTGCTTCTGTCCCTGTGGTCTTCGTGTCACTGTGGAAATGTGTCTAGATGAGCAGCTGTTTCTTCTGTTTCCCAAAGTTCTGTGGGCAGGCCAGCTGTCATCCCAACTAACTGTGCCCTGAGGGTCCTCTATCATGGGGAGGGAAGCGAACCATGGAGTTCTGCCTCTTTGCTTCCAGCTTGCATTTCTGGATGTGGGCACATGCCAGTGTCCCTCTCATTCCTCGGCACTGACTGAGGTTTGTGAATGTGTGCGTTGGCTGCTGGAAGCTTCCCGGTCATTCTTAGAACCTTGCCGCGTCCCATTTGCTCATAAATCTTCACCACAGCCCCACTGATAGAGCTCAGGCCTGCTCTGCCACATCCCTTCCAGCATTCAAAAAATCTGACCTATTTGTTCTTAGTTTTTTCATTCCATTCTGCCTTCCTGTTTACTATCACTCTTCTAATCTGTGTCCAGTGTGCAGTCAAACTGGGTTTTGGGGATGTGTTTTTAAGTTCTAGAATTCCTACCTGGTTATTTTTCGAACTTTTTCTGGTTTTCTGATTGTTTCTTAATATTTTCAATGTTCTTTATCTTTTAAAAACCTTAAGCAGCCGGGTGTGGTGGCGCATGCCTGTAATCCCAGCACTTGGGAGGCTGAGGCAGGAGGATCGTTGGGAGTTCAAGACCAGCCTGGGCTCCAAACTGAGCTCAAGGTCAGCCTGAACTGCATAGCAAGACCTTGTCTCAAAAAGACCAAGACGAACAAACAAACAAACAAAAAAACCCTTAAGTATGCTTGTTTTAAGATCCAAACGGCATCATTCCAAGGTTCCTGCTGCTTTGTAGTTGTTCTATCTCCCCCTGGTGCATGGTGCGGGCTCCTGGTGTTGGGGTTTACTTTCTTTTGTGGGGGGTACTTTCGGTACTTACTACTCTAGAGATCATTTCTTGGGTTTCCTGAGGCCTAGGATGAAGCTGTTTTCCTGTGGGGATCCTCTGGGTTTTTTCTGCTGGTTGCCAGGGGATCACTAGTGTGGAATCATTAAAGACAATTTCCAGTTTACAGATCTAGTTGCAAATCCACACTGCACAGCTCCTATTTTGAGCCCCTCGGAGGTGGGCTCCCCTTCCTTACCTCCCAGCTCCCTGCCCTGACGCGAGTGGCGCCTCTCTTTTCCTCACTTCCTGGACTGAAATATCACTGTCTCGCCCACCCTCTTCGGGGAAGGGGGTTCAGGTCTGGAGGTTCATGGCTGGACCGTCTGTGGGTGCTTACGCCCGGGAAGCAGGTCCTCAGGTGCTGTTCTTGGTTCTACGGGGCAGTGGCCCTGGCTTCCCTGGGGTCCCGGAGAGTGGAGGTCCCGGCCACTCCCTTCCCGAGGTCAGGGCCTTAGCAAGGGCGGCAGGGTCCCTTTAGGGAGCCCCCTGGTGCCTCTGCGAAACGCACTAGACAATATCTGTGTGACACTTGCAGCCCCAACTCGCAGCCGGTTCCCGACACCTCGGGAACCCACGGGGAAGCCTTTCTCCTGCACCCCGTGGCCCACTCCTCCCTCCAGGACCAGCCCCGTACAGGTCACCCCGAGGTGCCCACGACGGAAGAACGAACCCCGGAGGGAGGCGGCCCCTGCCGCCCTGTCTCCCATCCATCTCTGCGGGTCCTGGGCATCAGGAAGGCACCCGGACTCCGGGGCCAGGACTTTCCCCACGCCCAGCCTGACGCCCAAGGTCGCGTGGGAGCCCGGCAGGTCTCAAGCCCGCGGCAGCCCGGCGCAGTGGGCCCTCGGGCTCGCGCCCGCCTCCGCGCCCCGCACCGTAACTCGCGCGTGGACGGCGGGGGGGTGGGGCCAGGGCCCGAGCCGCGGGAGGCGGCGAGAGGGCAGAGGGCTCCGGACCCCGCGGGCCCGGGGCGCCCCCTGTGGGCATCGCGCTGGGGTCGCGAGTGGGCCCAAGGGCGGGGCGGGCAGGGGCTCCCAGGCGCACGGCCCGGAGGATGCGAGGTCGTGCTCGTCGGTGCCCACGGGGGCCAGGTTTCTCAAGGCCAGCAAGCGCGTGCGTTCGCGGGGGGCACCGAGAGGCCGCGTGACACCCAGGTCACACGGGGCGAGGAGGGGACGGCCACGCCTCGACCTCCGCGCGCGGGGACCCTGTCGGGCCCACTCCCTCGGCTTTGTCCGCTGCCCGCGCAGCTTCATCCTCGCCGTCCTGCCCGGGCGGACCCGGGTTGCCATGACGATGCCAGGGGGCGCGGGCGCGGGCTGGCCGGGCGCATGCGCATGCGCCGTCGCGGTGCGTCATCTGAGTCGCCGGGCTGCGCTCGCGGGGTCGCTGAGCCGCGGTG